GGTGCAGTTACCGTTATTATATAGCGCCAGGTTTTCTGGCGTTATATATATTATGGACACTTTTTTTTTTTTACACTTATTTGTGTCTTTTGAGTCCAAAATAATAATATTTTGGTTCCGGACTCGTTTTTGAGCCCGGCCTTGACACTTATCAACATCTCTTGAAGACCCTTAACATCACTCCTCCTACTCCTTTTGCTGAGTAGGTAACTTTTCACTCCTTAATGCCGTTGCATCCGTTGTCCTACATCCCGAGGGTCGAGGGAGAACAATGCTACTCACTGCGTTTCAAAAAGATTGACATTATTTTTTTATTAGTCCGTTTAAAAAAAGTTACCGTATTTCTATATTTCCTTAATGGGAAGCTTTCGTAACCACACAAATGTTATGACTTGTTTAAGACCATATGTTTTATAAGTTCATAGTCGGGCAAATGTTATGGTATATATATTTAAGATCACAAGTTTTAAAAGACTTCAGCTCCTTATTAAACTTTGTGTCAATTCAGATTAAGACAAATAAATTGAAACGAAAGGAGTCTTTCTTTGTCAAATTATGCTTAATTTCACATGTGATAATTCCGTCATGATCTCTTAGTTAATTAGGAAAAGAATTTAACTTTTTCAGGAACGTAGTGAGAGAGAAAATTTGATTAGACAATGTGTAGTTGGTAAATGATTACTTTATTCTAGAACATATAATTTATTGATTGACATGATGAATTTGCAGGACTTCCTGAACATGTATTTCAAGAACATCTACAAACCAATACCTCTAGATTACAATCTTGTTCTAGCAATGTTATGGCGTCATCCGGAGAATGTTAAACTGGATGAAGTGAAAGTTGTACATTATTGTGCAGCGGTACGTATATCCTGTACTTTTTTGTAATATATATCTACATGCAATCATTATTTTCTCATACTACATTAATTTAATTTGGCACGTTAATAAAAGAAAATAAGTTCTAGTCACCCCTCATGTGACAGACGTTTTACTTTTTAGTATGTTTAGAAAAAGATAATATATTTAGCAATAATTTACTTTAATTTTTTTATTTTAACCTTGATCACATAATTATATAGTCAAAACACCTTTTACATAAAATGAAACAGAATGGAGTAGTTGATATTGTCAATTTACATGTGCACTTATGATGATCTTAAAGGGATCAAAGCCATGGAGGTACACAGGCAAGGAAGACAACATGCAAAGAGATGACATAAAAATGCTGGTGAAGAAATGGTGGGACATTTACGAGGATAAGTCGTTGGACTACAAGAAACCGGTGGCCCTAAATCAAGGACCGGATTCAGAACCCATAAACTTGCAGCCGTTGATTGCAGCTGCTATGTCTGAGGCTGGCGCAGTGCATTGTTTCACTGCGCCATCCGCTGCATAATTTTGACATTAGGCGAATGGGCTTCGGCTAACCCTAACACCCCACGAATCCCACAAAATTAATGTATATTGCACCAAATTAGATCGAACAAAACACCAAAGGAACCTTGATTAAAAGAAGAAAATATAAATGAGGATTTCAGAATGGTAAAGTTCCTGAATTTTATCTTAATAAGAGGTAAAAATTAGGATAGATTGCAGAGAGAATGTGAATGTCGCAGTAATGTAAAAGATATATCTGTTCTCTTGAAAGAAGAATATTAAATATATATTATGAAATCTATATTAGAATTGAAAAGGAAATGTTTTGATTCAATTTCGTTTTTGTTTTGTGTGTTGAATGATTTTGTTTAGGAAGAATTCGTGTTAGTACCGTTGTGAAAAATTTGTTCTTGTGTTTTAGAGCTTTATTCAATTGTAATCTTAAAATTGTTGTCTGTCGGTACTCAATTAATTTTTTGATAAATAAATCGATCATTGTTATATTCATTTAATAACTGAAGAGAATGATATTGGGGATCACAATTTACAAAATTAATTTGTTTTAATAATTTACAAAAAATTGAACTATAAATTATAACCTGCATAAGTTGCTCCAATTATTAACATAAAAAGACTATGTGCTATAATACTCATTTTAACATCAAATTGTAAAAGTGATTGAATGGTATTATTTCCCCACTATATTAGAATTTTTAACAAGATAATACATTAAAGGTACAAGTGTAATTTATATTAACAATTTTTCTACAATAAAAAAACTTACCGATCTATTTGTAAACTAATTTTGAATACATCCAATTTGGTCTTGCAAGTGTTTTAATAGTGGGAACAATCAGCTACCTAATGAAAGTTAAAACGAACAAAATCATTCTTTACAGTACGAGAAAAGTTTAAAAAAAAACTTATGATTTTACTTTATGTCTTATATACAACAAAATCAAGAGAAATTTTTAGTACAGTCAACAAAGAGAACTTCCAAGGGGACTTGCATCCCTAAAGAGGCAATTTACTACTTCAAACAAAGAGAACCAACTATACTAAAGAAATATTAACATAATACAAATTGTAGTAATTCAATATAGTAGTTCAAATTATATTTTATTATAACTTGTTTAAAATGATGTTACTGGTGATAAGATAATAAATATTTGATATAAGTCTATATAAATTATAGGGATTTTATTTTTTTCTTAATTATGGATATAAGAGAAATGTTTTTATTTTTTCTATAGATTTATCATATGTTAATTTTTATAATGAAATAATATAAAATATTTTAAGATAATTTATAGATTGTTGAAAATTTATCATGGAAGAATGGAGTTCAAACCAGATAAATCAAAATTTCACATCAATTAAGTACATAAGAGATAACCTCCTAGAACAGATGAACAAATATCATCACTTAAATTAACTTTTAAGGTTTACCAAACTATAGTTTTTAAAATTACTTTGGAATATAAAACTTTTAGGTTTGAAATCGCCTTCAAATAGTGTGAATACATGAAAACCTTTTAATTTTATTTTTTAAAGTTGTGTTAAAATAGTATGGGTAAATATGAAAATATTGTAAATATTTATCTATATTTCTTTTTGTTGCTTTATTATTTAAAATTAAATTTACTTTTTCTGTGCAAAAATTAACAATTTTATCAAATGAGAAAAAATATTCAAAATGAGTATTTGCATGGAGTAACTCTATGCAAAAGTAGTCTAATCAAAAGTACATTTAAACTTTTAAAGGAGTGATGTGGTCAAGGGAATGTGGGGTCCATGTATATCAAGGAGGACAAAAATAGGCATTTAAGAAATGCAAACAATACAATAATTGTTTTTGAAATGACATATATGCCCTTGGTTGACCATCTTTCCTTTTCTATATAATAGAAATAAAGATAAAGTACGTGGTTGGTTACATATAATAAATAGTTTTGCTTCTTGGTCAAACAGGTTACTAGAAAAAGAAATTAACATGAAATGGCGTATAGAGAATGTTGATAAGACACAATTTGGAGAGAGAGAGAGTCAGTAAGAGAAAGTTCACAACCAAGAAAACATACAACAAACTATTAAAACGCGAAAAAAATAACCCCTTTCAACTGCAAAATGCTTTCTTATGCCTAGGTAGTTTTACAACTTATGTGTGGAATTTTTTTGTTTATATACATATAATATAATTTTCGGCATAGGAGATTCAGTTGAACACCTTTAGTAAACGTAAGAAGCACAAATCCACCAGAAAAGAAAAATAGTAAGACAGACGACCAAGGGGCAAGGAGTTAAGGCCAGCTACCTCAACAAAGGGAGAAAAATTTCGTGATTCTTTGGTCCATCCGTCTTCACATGCTTTATAGACTGAGGCGGATCTAGGATTTGAACACCATGGGTGCACTACTAATTTTAAGTAAAATTGATGCTGATAATAATACCAATTTATGCGCAAAAATTAAAATATCTTAAAAGTTATTATTTGGTACAACAAATTTTATATATATATATATAGAGTTATAGACTTTCATACAAAATAATATTTCATAACAAAAAGTTATTATATATATATATATATATATATATATATATGTAAATTCGTATCTTTATTTTATTGATAATATCACTGGTGATTACTTGTACTATATTGCAAATTAAGTGCAAGAAAATAACAAAAATCCTAGAGCATATGATTAACTTTTAATCAATAAATTGCTTATATGTCCAAAATATAAAATAAAAACTCTATCTAGTTGTGAAAATTTTGGAGGCAAAAATCCGATAATCGCATTGAAATTAATATAAATATGCCTCAACGAGTTGTAACTTAAATTTTATAATCACGTAAATTATTTATAGTGCTCAAGATATAGAGATAAACACTAATTTAATTGAATCAATAGCTAATTTCTAAACCTTTGTCGTTTACCATGAAGCATTGGGGGAAATAAAGTTCAATCGGAGTCAAGCAAATTAGGAAAACAAACATAAATAAAAAAGGAAAAGAAGGCCCGGAAAAGAAAGAGGAAAAAAAAAGGAGGAAATGAATTATTTTGAGAAAGCTCAATTGTAGATCTGATGAAGTAAAGAAGATAGAGAATTCAGAAAAGAAAGGGAAAAAAGATTTTTTTTAAAAAAGTAGAATGCTAAAAGAAAAATTGAGAAAAAATTTGCAAATTCGCAGAAGCTCTATGAAATAAGCAGTAAGGCACCTAGCATCGGAGAGAAAAAGAAAAGGAACCCACTGTCTGTTTTTCACCATGGGTTCACACTGCAATATAGAACCAGAGGATGGGTGCACGTGCACCATAGGCTCTAAGGTGGATCCGCCTCTGTTTATAGAGATCATTATCTATATATTAATATATGTTATAACAAGTTATATGTAGCCTCGTTTATATAAACGTACATTTTTTGGCTCCTATAGTAAAATGTTATTATAGAGAACATATACTATATCGATAAATTGATTCCAAAGAAAACTTGGCCGTTAGAAGTTGGACTGTAATTGTCAAATTTCTCCAACTATGTATCATAACGATTAACGAGTATCTTATTAGCATAGCATTAGAAATTCCACGAGAGAAGTGAACAGATCAACTAGAATAAGACCAAGAAAGTATCACTATGGCGTATGGGATTTACTGGAACTTGTAACTCTACTGAAACAAAAGTACACGTTAAGTACATCTTTATTTTCTTCTCTACTTGACAGCATGTTCCAAATAAAAATTGGACCCTGTTCCATAACTCAACATATAACAAGGCCATGATACCTAACAAAAAGACGATTAAACATTTTAACGTCAAGCTACGGAAGCTCAAGAAGTTGATAATGCAGAGGACATATCAGCATGCCCTCCCACCATCCTCTCGGCCTTCTCTCCCCGTTCTCCTGTTACAGTGTAGCATAGATTCATTACAAGCAATAACTTTTGACCTCTGTAGAGGCGAAGTTCAGATGACAAATCAACCTAGGAAGACAAATAACTCATTTATAAATGAAAAAAGGACTATCATCATCAAAACTTTCTGCTTACCAGTGCGAACTCTTATCACATCAGAGATGGGAATCACTGCGAAAGAAAAAGAAACAGCATCAATAATTCACCATAAAACTAACAACCTTAGAATAGATTAATAGTAAGCAAACTTTTATTTTGCTTAAAAAGTAAACACATTTTAAATTATACATTGTATATTAATTTGTAATATATCAAACTAAATATTAAACAAGAAATAATTCTAGCATTAGAACCCTTGCATTACTAATCTCAACATTATTAATCCCTGCAATACTAATACCAGGATTACAATCTCTGCATGCTAATCTCTACCTAACTTGTCTCTAAACCAAACGACCCCTAACAATATCCCAAAAGATGGCCAAACTTCAATAGCCACTTTGAATTCATGGTCTCTGAAAAAAATTGTGAACAAGTCACTGATGGATTTCCTTGTCTGATAAAATTGAAAAGAAACGATCAATGGATTTGAGATTCCTACAGCCTTTTAATCTTATTTTAAAATTTTGGGCTAGTATTCTCTATCTGTTTCTTCTGGTATACCTACATCAGTTTACAGTACACCACGTATCTCAATGGAACCAAAAGATTTTATTTGAACAAATATGATTTGTCATTGCAAGCACCTTTTAAAAGCCTTGGTGGTATTGTTTTTTCACGCTGCATGTGCAACCGCACTAAGATTACTGCAAGCTTTTCATTTACTTTTGCTGTTCTTAGGACATTGACCAAATAAATGGAATGGCTCAACCTAGAAGTTAAGTTGAAGAACCAGTATAACTGGATTAGACGAGACACCTGAGAGATTGCAGGAACCTAAATTTGCTCAGCTTTTCGGTTTTAAAAGTCAAAATTGGTTAAAAGTAGACCATCAAATTCGACAACAGTATGAAGCTGTAGGTGAAAAGATATCAGCTACATATTGAAGGCCACTAGTTTAACCAGTCTCCCTCTCATTTTTTTCTCTTTGGCACCAAAAAGGAAAGGACAGGTTTATGTTATATATGCACTTCATTTTGCATTGATGATACCTATATTGGAGTGATACTGGTATATGCACTTCCATATGAATCCTTCAAAATAAACGAAACACCTACTTACAACTGAATGCATCTGTATTTGTTCTATATCCATATCCAATATTCATGCCCTAGGTATAGATAGCATATATGTGGTTAGGAGAAAAAATATTCCCCTCAGCAACCAGGGGACCGCCAATGCACCTACATTGGGGCAGAAGATAAGGTTATCCATGTGCTTAACTCTTGAAGAGTGGAATTACTTGCTAACCCCTCTGCATTATTGGAATTAACTCAACTAATGCACACAAAAAGCAAAAACTGACTTAGTAGTGGAATTACTAATATTCCCATATAAGATCTCGCTCTTTTAACACTAAGTTCCTCATCTTCCTCAAAATTAAGCAGTCACAAAAAACACGTCGTCTTCAAACATGTTTGACAAATGGGTAAGCCCTCTACCCGTACATAGGATGTGTCGCGATAAGAAAATATACAGCATACTCATTGAGAAAACACTAACTAAACGCCCTCAAGCTTGGTTGGAGAATTTACAGCAAATCAATGTTCATATTAACATAGCTAGCGAAAGAACTCCAGAATCAAGAAGAGAAAAACTTACAGAAGATCTTTCCATCACCAATTTCACCAGTTCTTGCCTCTTCAATTATCTTTGCAATGACTCCTTCAACCTAATAAGACAGCATTACAGGTTAGAAAACTTGTATATGCACAGGAGAGAGAAATAACACGCCGACCCTATACTTACACTTACAGAAAACCTGTATATACACAGAGAGAAACAACACATTAACCATGTATTCTTATAATCTACACATATGGTTTTGAATTATGGTGCCCAAAACTTGATCAAGGCCTTTAAAATCCGAACCTGGTCTTTGCTCACAACAATCTCCATTTTAACTTTTGCTACAAACTTGTCTTCGGAGAATTCAGAGCCTGCAAGCAGCAGATAACTTCAAAACCTGAGGAAGAGTCTGTTTAAGTAAGAATATTGACAACCTAAAACAATAAACAGTTAAAATTGATGAATTTCTTCCTTACCAGCTTGCCTCTCGGTCAAGCCACCTTGGGCTCCAAAGCCACGAACATCAGAGACAGTGACACCACGAATGCCCATTTTCAATAGTGCCTTCATAATGCAGAAAGTATGAGTAAATGATGGCATGTTTTAACTTTCTAGAGTAGAAGTGTTGAAATATCTTCAGGAAAATGTTTGCCTTCTATTGGGTTTTGAAAAGGAGTTCAATAGATCATCACAAAATAGCTGGATAACTGTTTGGGCTTCAGCTTCCCGTATTGTTAAATGTTCTAGCATTTCTGGTGGAATTTTTTTGTGTTCTTGTGTGTGCATTGGGTGGGTGTGGGGGGGGGGGGGGGGTCCCCTTATTCCACTCCGCCCTCTTACATTTAATATGTCCAACCCCTTAGTGTTCCTTCCAATGATAGATATTCTAAGCATATCCTGATCTAAAGTCTGTGCCCCCTCGAACGTTTTTCAACTTATCCGTGACAAGACTTTTAGAATGAAAAAAGAAAGAATTCGCCTCCAAAAGCTTAAAGCAATTTGATGCTGATCCATCAAAAGGATTATCCTTGGGGGCATGATATGATAACATAGTAAAGAAAAATATTGTGTATTACTCTCTATGGAGAAATAGTTACAGTGTATACAAAGAAAGAACTAGAATAAATTGCAAATAAACGTGAAATTTCTGCTATATTCTGCATTAATGGTAGATAATCCTTCAACTACTGTAGTAAAGACACAATAGATAAACCATAATTCTGATCATTTGTATGTGTAGACTTTACACAGAGCTCGACAAATTCTGAAGAGGATCTGAAAAATAGAATGTGAAGAAATGGAACTTGGGCCTAACTCAATCCCAAAAACTAGTCCATGAGGAGAGGATTGCTCAAGACCATATAAGGAGAGCACAACTTATTCCCTTAGCCAATGTTTAACACCCCCTCCCCCCACAATGTGGAACGTAACATAGAGATTAACCTTCGACTAACTATAATTACTTATCTATTCCAAACTTCTAATTCTCAAAACCTGAATGGTGTCAAAAAAAATACAAAAGTGCGCCTATTAGCCCGAGTTCTTGTTCTTAAGTGTACGTTGACACCTGCCAATAAGAGATGCACCACTTACCGTCCTTTCCTCTGTAGGGCAATTGGCTAAGGAGTCGAAGAATGAGGCAATCAAAAATGTCTTGATGTACCTAAGACTAGTTACCATATCATCGTGAAACTTAATGCTTATTGGCTTTTCAAACTTATCGGTATTGATGTTAGTAGAGCAGGCTAGCAGCATTTTAATTAACCCCTTGGGCTTTCGATCACTTCGATCACAACTGAGATTGAAACGCTGCTCTAAAACCATTTTCCACAATAGGCTTTTCCATGATATGATCAAATGCAAAGTCGGGGTCGAGTAAAACCCCCTCAAAAAGGTCTTTTAGTCGATGACATAAAGAGCATTTAAGCAATTATTATTATTTGCGCATGCAACATTAAGGATCACAAGAAGAAAAGATCCAATTTTTCTAACATGCATATGGAAAATCCGAGTGCTTACCGAAGAAACCTGTTGAATTCTCCACGGTCTAGTCGATTCCAAAATTTGCAGCAGAATGAAACATGCAAAACTAATGAATGAATATGCAGATTTAAAGAGGATTAAAAAAAGCGAGAAATAATAAAAGTGATGCACCTTAGAATAGCTTCGACTTTGTAAAAATTGGCATCGGGGACCAAATCTGAAAAACCCAAAGTACTAAATCAAAAACAACAACACATAGAGGAAAATCTTGACTGAAAATTATGAAGTGGGTTCAAAGCAAATTGTTGAATAATGAGACCTGGAGAGCTTTGGGCTCTGATAATTGGGAAAAGACGAGCATTTGGTACGCGTTTGATGGTGAGTTGCGAAGGGAAGAACTCGCGCAGGTTGTTGGGTCGAATGGTAATACTGGAAGTGAAACTAGGCAATTCTTGGAAGTGGGAAGGGGAGGAGTGAAGGGAGAAGCTGGATTTGGAAAGTGAGGCAGTGGCCATTGAGAAAACGAACAATAGGAGTGAGAGAGTAACAGAAGACGAAAAAAGGAAGTAGTGAAGTTTTTATTCGATGAGGTCTATGCCTACAAGGGCCATGTACGAACAAAGTAATTGGCACCTTCGTTTTAAAAAGCTTTTCAGACTCTGCCCGAACTCGGCCCGTGTGAGGGCACTTGCAAAACGTATTGAGATTCACGTGTGCAGCTTGATTATGTGAGGTTTATATTTTAAGCGTCGAGGAGGTTACGGGTTCTAACCGTGGAAACAGACTCTTAGAGAAATATAGGATAAGACTACATACAATAGATTCTTGTGGTCCGACCCTTTTCCCGATCCCGTGATTAGCAGGAGCTTAGTACACCATTCTGCCCCTTTATATTTCAAGCGTCCGATTGAGCGTCCTAAGCACACTTAATACTCCAATCAAATATCAACTTCTTAATTAGTATTTGAACGGGTTCAATATGGCATGCGAGACAATGAAAGGAGAAATCACCTTACCGGTCAACACGACCGGAACCACTCAACAAGAAAAGGTTTATGTGATCGAGGGGGACAGGAGGTATAATGCCTTGTTCAGGAGACTGTAGGTTCATAGCATGAGGACGGTACCATCAAACTTGCACCAAGCATTGAAATTTCGAAACTCGGGGGGAATTAAAACGGTCTACAGGGAACAACCAGACGCAAAGGAGATGTTTGTCGTCGAAGAAGTGATCCATGTACCTGCGATCACGACCTCAAAAGATAAGGGACTGATCTGAGAGAAAGGCACCAAATAGTAATCACAAGTCTCGACCTCGACCGAGCTGGGGAAACTAGAGGATCGTCCAACAAACGAGGAAGATGACTTCGAGGTCCCAAGATACTTCATAGCACTTGATGACGTCGATGCCACCAAGTCAATAATTGAGGAACTGGAACAAGTCATATTGTTCGAGTATCTGCCGGATAGAAAGGTATACCTGGGCACGGGGTTAACCCCAAGCTCAGGAAAAAACTCATTGATTTTCTTAAAGGTAATGCCAATTGTTTTGCCTGGTCGCACTTAGATATGCCAGGATTCCCACTGGAGATACCAACTTACAAATTGAGTTTGGATCCGAACTTCCATCCGATTAAACAAAAGAGGAGGCCACCATCCGAGGTCAAACACGCATTTATCAAAGACGAGGTATCTAAACTTTTAAAAATAGGTTCCATTCGGGAAATTAAATACCCGGAGTGGGTAGCTTACAAAGTCCTCGTACCCAAAAAGGGAAACAAACTTAGAATGTGTGTAGATTATAAGGATTTGAATCCGGCATGCCCGAAGGACTCATTTCCTTTGCCTAATATCGATCGAATTATCGATGCAACGGCAGAGCACGAGACGCTGAGCTTTCTCGACGCCTATTCCAAGTTCAACCAAATATGGATGGACCCAAGCGACCAAGAGAAAACTTCTTTTATAACTTGGTTCGGCACTTATTGTTATAATGTGATGCCATTTGTGTTAAAAAAAATGTCGGCGCCACATTCCGATGCCTAGTTAATCGAATGTTCGAGGAACAAATAGGGAAATCAATAGAGGTTTATATTGACGATATGTTAGTTAAGTCCCTGCGAGCAAAGGACCATTTGAAACATTTACAGGAAACCTTCGACATACTGAGGAGATGAACTTGAACCCAGAGAAGTGTGCATTCGGAGTCAGCTCGGGCAAGTTCTTTGATTTCATAATATCTAAACGCGAATAGAGATGAACCCAGAAAAGATAAAGGCCATAAAATATATCATTGTGATCGACAACGTCAAAGCAGTGCAAAGGCTGATAGGGTGAATAGCCGCATTGGGCCAATTTATTTCCAGGTCATCGGATAAAATCCACTGGTTTTTCTCGTTACTAAAGAAAAAGAGTGACTTTTCTTGGACCCTGGAGTTCCAAAAAGCTTTGGAGGAACTCATACAATACATATCAAGCCCTCATTTGTTGCATACCTCGAAGGCGAACGAGCAATTATACCTTTATTTGGCAGTGTCCGAGGTAGCGGTAAGTGGTATCCTGGTTTGGGAAGAAGAAGGTACGCAATTTCCTATATATTATGTTAGTAAAACCCTAGGTGATGCTTAAACGAGGTATCCACACCTAGAAAAATTGGCACTTGCCTTACTAAGCGTATCTAGAAAACTAAAACTATATTTTCAATGTCGCCCTATATGTGTCGTGACCTCGTACCTGTTAAGGAATGTCATGCATAAACTCGAACTCTTAGGCCAGGTAGCAAAGTGGGTCGTAGAGATTAGCGGGTATGATATTGAATACAAACCCCGAACAACTATAAAGTCCCAGAAATTGGTAGACTTCGTGATCGATTTTACACCGGCCCTGATTCCCGAGGTCGATAAAGAATTATACATGCCTCGGGGACTAGCTCGGGGTTCTAGATCCTATTCACAGACGGTGCCTCCAACACGAAAGGGTCTGGGTTGGGTATCGTGCTAAAAAAACCCACGGGTAACATAATAAGGCAATCAATTAAAACTGTGAAACCGACTAACAATGAAGCCGAGTATGAGTCTATGGTTGGAGGTCTGGAATTGGCTAAAAGCCTGGGGCTGAGATAATCGAAGCCAAGTGTGATTCCCTCATCATTGTTAACCAGGTCAATGAAACATTCGAAGTCAAAGAAGACTGGATGCGAAGGTACTTGGATAAATTACAAATAGTGTTGCATTGGTTCAAAGAATGGACGCTACAACATGTACCTCGAGATAAAAATAGTGAGGCTAATGCATTGGCTAATTTAGGGTCGTCAATGGACTCCAAAGAATTTAACTCTGAAATAGTGGTGCAATTGATGAGCTCAGTAATAGATACTGGTCATGCTAAGGTAAACTCAATAAGTTTGACCTAGATTGGTGAAACAAATACATGGATTACCTTTAGAAGGGGAAACTGCCATCGGATCCTAAAGAATCAAGGGCCCTTCTAACTAAAGCTGCCAAGTTTTGCTTGGCTGAAGGCCAATTGTACCGAAGGTCATTTTTCAGACCGTTAGCAAGATGCTTGGGGCCTGGAGAGACCGACTACGTGATGAGGGAAGTCCATTAGGGGACTTGCAAAAACCACTCCGTAGCGGAATTGTTGGTACGAAAGTTGATCTGGGTCGGGTATTACTGGAACGAAATGGAGAAAGATACAAAGGACTTTGTTCAAAAGTGTGACGAATGTCAGAGACATGCTCCGATGATCTACCAACCGGGAGAGTTGCTTCACTCGACCTTTTCCCTTGGCCGTTCATGAAGTGGGGAATGGATATCACAGGTCCTTTACCATGAGCACTTATTAAGGCTCGGTACATAGTGCTTATGACGGATTACTTCTCCAAGTGGGTTGAAGCGCATGTGTTTGAGAAAGTTAGGGAACAGGAGATTATCGACTTCATATGGGATCATATAATCTGTCAGTTTGGGATACCAACCAAAATCACATGTGACAATGGGAGACAATTCATCGGCATCAAGGTCAATAAGTTCTTTGAAGATCACAAAATCAAAAAGATTTTATCAACCCCTTATCGCCTGAGCACAAACAGTCAAGCAGATTCGACAAACAAGACTATACTGCAAAACCTGAAGAAAAGATTGACCAACTCAAAACAACGGTGGAAAGATATTCTACCCCAGGTCCTATGGGCATATCGAACAACTTCGAGGTCGAGCACCGGTGAGACACTATTTTCTCTGGTATACGGTGCAGAAGCTTTGATTCCGGTAGAAGTAGGAGAATTGAGCTTAAGGTTCTGGTATTCTACCGAAACATCAAATTATGAGGCCACGACCATAAGTCTAAATTTAGCGATGAAAGGCGAGAAGCTGCCCTGGTCCGGTTAGCAGCTTAAAAGCAACAAATAGGAATATATTAAAACCAAAGGGCAAACCTTCGACACTTCTAAGTCGGTAACTTAGTATTGAGGAAAGTCACACTACATACCAAGAACCCGATCAACGGGAAACTAGGACTGAACTAGAAAGGACCATACAGAGTCACAGATATAACCAAAAAAGGCTCGTACCAGCTTGAGTCCGAAAATGGCGTACAACTGCAAAACAACTGGAATGTGGCACACTTGAAGCGGTACTACTGCTGAGGTATGAATACCTAAATTTCTTTGAGGCTTATTATCCTTTGAACTAACCCATGGAGGTACTCAATCAAAGTCAAATCCAAGAATTAGGTCTCAAAGCATGAGTTGCACTTTTTTCCCTTCGACCGTTTTTTCGTGAAGTGGGTTTTACGGCAAGGTTTTTAACGAGGCAACAGTAAGTGTGCTACTATAGTATTGAAGACCGGTCTAGCATCGGGGACTGGGGACTGCCTGCATAAGATCATTAGTACTTGAGCCCTCAAGATTCTGCCTCAAGTACTAGGGACTTATCACACCCTGAATCGAGTTCGAAGATCTAAGTTTGGAAACTTTGAAGAAAATTCTACTCGAAATCAAAAGACAAGGATTAAATAATAGGATTCATTGTAAGGGTCAAACGATCAAATGAATCATGCCCCGTAAGTTCATTCTCGCCATGGCGGATAAATTATGTATCTTCGATTATTTACACTACATTTGAAGTAATAAAGTGAGAAAATTCACCTTCGATACTTCATCAGTTCACGCTTACATGAGAAATGATACCTTTATATCACTTAGAATAAAAATTGGGTTTAAATCCTTCTAAGCCATCGGTCCATCATTAACTGGAGGCATGAAACCAAAGGTAGTAAGAGTCCGCGAGACCGTTCCTAATCATCTAAAGACCCCTAAACCAACGGGTCACCCCGAACAAGGGAATGCTATCCGACATTAATACCGGACAAATCGGGATACTAAACCTTGAGGGCACCGAGCCTACAAGGCAGGGCCTAAATACGGAAGGCCACAGCCAACTTATGGTATGAAGCCTTTAGAGTTTCGATCTCGATGTAAAAATGACTCGGAGACGTCTGAGTTCGTAAATATAAAAAGTAAGGTCATTACATTTTAAGTCTATAATGATTATGTCTGATCTGATCAAATCAATCGATTTCGAATCACGGTCAAAGGAAGGGACACCTTCGGCAAAGATTAACTATGTCCAGATAAATTATTTGAATAGTTTAATTAAGAATTTGTTTTTGTTAGACCCTCCGAAGTCAATGAAACTCGGAGACGTTGTTTGAATAGGACCTTATTCGAGCTTTTATGAAGTTGAATAGTTTGAGAATTTTCAAAATTTATGCTAAGGCATTGATGATCTGTTAAGTTCGAGACACAAGTTATATATCCTAAGTCCTAAACATAAGCAAATGCAGAAATATTAAAGGACACAATGTATAGTCGAAGAGTAATTTCATATATATATATATATTCACCAAAAGGTATTTACAGAGGCACGAGTAAACAACCCCAACGTCAAAAGCGTACAAATACAAGAAAAGACAGAAGTAATATAAGCTAAGGCATTTCCTGCCTAGTCTTCATCAGAGCCCAGCTTACTATCCGAACCGTCGGGCTGGTACCTCACTTTGGCCTCAGTTTAACCTCTTGGCCTCTTCAATATTGGCCGCTAAGTCGACCTCCCGGCTTGGATCTCCTCGAGAGCCTAACTACGAGATAGCCACTTCACATACTCAGCCTTCGTTATGATCCGGGCTTTGGCTATCTCCACACCGGCCTTCTATTAGTCCAGCATATCTTGGGCTTCTGAGACTTTTCTAGAAGCCACCTGCAATTTGGACTTCAGCGCAGTGTACTCTTGGCCAAGATTAGCATGCTCTCCGACAGCCGAGGTGAGTTGTTGCCTGGAGTTCCTCGTTCAGCTGATCCTATTTGCCAGGCTTCTCTTTCGCCACTTAGAGTTGCACTCTAGTTGATTCCAAGTCCTCTTTGGTGGCATCCTGCTCCGACGCTAGGCAGTTCATTTTTCCTTTCAGCTCATCGGTTGAAGCCTTGACCCCGTCCATCTTGGTCCTAAGCTGGTCGATCAAGGTTATCTTCTCCTGGACCTGTAAGTTGCGGCGTTAGCATTGGTGTTTAGTCTCTCATTATCAATCTCGAGCACCCTTAACTTCTCAACTAGAAGAGCATGGTCTTATTTCACTTTCGAGGACTCCTTCTGGGCCTGAAGGACAGGGAGCTCGACCATGTCTCTAAGGACTTCATCCTTCTGCTCACGGAAAGCTTTGTATATCTCTATTTGTCGGACCTTCTCCTTGAGCTCGAACTCGAGGTGACTCACCTACATCCTGGATCGATGAAACCTTTCATGATGAAGCACCGAAGCCTGAGACATAGAGAAAGAAAATTGTTAAAAATAGTTAAGATGACAGGAACTCATTAAAACAAATAGGGAAAATGATATATCTGATTTAGCGCCAACTGGGCTTCATTAAAAAGACTTGGCCCATCTACCTCATTTATCTTCACTTGGTCTACTTTGGTTACCAAGGTATGGAGGTAGCCAGCCACTCCGGCTAGCCCAGATAACATGCTAGTATCCGCCGGCATCGTGAACATGACTGTCTTCTTCAGGGTCCACACTCGGGGCCAAAAATAGCTACTCGAGTTTTGAGCTCAAACTCGGCCCATCTAATCCCGGTTGTACGACCCTTTTCGGGGTCTCTAAGTGGCCAAATCCAGAGTAATCCTCCAGCATACTAACGTCCACACCTAGAAAAACAAGTTAAGGGCATCGTCCACAGCCTAGGACGTTTTGGTCGGTTTCTCTTCAGCAGCCCGAGCTTCATATAAAATGGCCTTCATACGAGGCTGTGACTTTTGAATGTGGATGATGCCATCGCCTTCTGAGGTGGTCTTCCTCTGGACTGTAGGGGCTTCTTATGAAGCAGTAGCCACATATTCTTCTTTGAATCCTCGAGCTGAGGAGGATTCAGCCTAACAAGCATCCCCCTCCGGGGCCACCAACTTTTGGTCGGCATTGATCGGCTCGTGGGTGATGAACTCCATGTCCTCATCATCCTCGGGAAAATCCTTGAGCCAATGAAGAGCTTCAAAATCTGGTACGCGGGTACCTGAAGTCTTTTTGGTGCTCTTTCTAACCCTGAGCATAATCCTTTTTCTCTTCTTGACCTCGGTAGGAGCGTCCAAAGAGTCAAGGGATCTCTTCTTCTTCTTCTTCTTCTTCTTCTTCTTCTTCTTCTTCTTCTTCTTCTTCTTCTTCTTCTTCTTCTTCTTTGTTTTCTCCTCCTTCATAACAGCAGCTTCGGCAATGCACTGTAGAGAAGCGGAGAATTTTATAGAGGGGGTCGAGGTCACGGCATCGGTGGTGTCCCAAAGTTTGGTGGTCTTCGGCAAGCCTGTGAAAGAAGGACATAGCCATGAGAATAATAGAATAAAAAATGGCCAGGAAAAAATTCAACCAGAAAAGGGCTCTCACCGTGAGAACGAGCCTCCCACTTGCCCTTGGAGATCTTACGCCACTCACGCTCGGAGTAGGTGAGTTGCTTGTATATACCCTCGACCCACTCCCTAAAATGTAGGATCGCGTTAGGGACTCGAGGGACAGCTGTATATCGAATAAAACGTTTCATTAGAATAAAAAGTAGACACAAGAGAGGAATTTGACAACTTTAGAGGAAGTAAACTTATGATTCGGGTTCCACTTCTTAGGGAATGACATGAACTCGGAAGGAATGAGGTCCTCGGTCTTTAACCGAACAAACCTACTTTGCAAGCCTCGGTCCCTGTCTTCGTCTATACAGGAGAAGGTAGCTTTCTTTGACCGATAGTCAAGTTTGATTAAACCCCCTCAGAAGATTCGGGGGATGTAAACTCGGAGCAAATGATCGATCGTGAATCGAGGCTTCTCCATATTTTTTGCGAAATGATGTAGAAGAGTCATAATCCCCCAAAAGGATGGATGAAGTTTCTTGAGGCAAATTTTGTACCTCTTGCAAAACTCGAGGACCACCGTATCCATATGACCAAACATGAAAGGAAACGTGTAAAAACTTAAGTATCCTTCCATGTACGTCGGGATGTCCTCCTCAGGACTGGGAATGACTATGTCCTTGCTTTCCCATTTACTATCCTTTCAAACAGCCTCGAGCGTCTCCTCGGTAATAGAGCAAACGTACCCCACGCCTCCTTACCCTGATCCCCTTGTACGGAGGATTTCTCGATTTTAAAGTCATTATCTTTGAGGCAGCCGCCGGGGATGAAATCTGTGAGGGGAGGTCACGGGGCTACCACCGGAGGCACTGCCTCGGTATTGGTGTCCGAGGAAGAAGTCGTCGGTGCAGTGTTCTGGGATACCGATTTTGAGGTCTTCTACATTTGTATCTAAGTATATGAAGATTTGAAGATTTGGTTTGAAGGTTTGAAGTTAAGGTATGCAAGTTTGAAGATGAACTATGAGTATATGAAGATATGAAGAACAAGTTATGATGATTTGAAACTGATGAACGGATAAGTATATAAAAGGCTCGAGGGTAAGGAAGTTTGAAATCAGAAAGTAAAAAAGTGAAAATAGGAAACCAGAACTTTTATAGGGAAAGAGTAATGAATGCATGACATTTTCAGTGACTACCAGGGGTGATCAACTGACGACTGACGCGTGTCCAAAATTAGAGCGACGTGACTAATGGGACGTTCCGATTCGTCAACATGCTCATGGTGTGCGAGAGAAGGAACCCGGGTCAATTAGTCACTTCTCATCGCTTCTATAATCTACTCTTCGAGAAGAGAGGGGACTATGTGTGTACGGTAGAATCGGGGATAAAGTTACGCCTATGTCTCGTTGAGAAGCGAAGAACAACGTTACTTGTTACTAGCTCGAGTTAGACCAAGGGTACCTACAAATCGAAACCAGGAGCGGATGGAATCGAGCATGGATGAACTCGGAGAGATACTAGCTCGAGCAATACGAAGAATCGAGGGTAAAGGAAAAAAATGGTTAAAGAAGACAAACAGAGATCCGAAATATCCACCATCAATCGAATATTACGGCGCGGATCACGCTCGGTATTGGTTGTAGATCGTGTTTTCGTGAGAGAAAAGGAAGGAAAGGATTTTTACCTTATTTAGAATTGTATTCGGGTTAAAACTCCTCTATTATATAAAGAAGAGAACCCTTTCATTTTTGGTCACTATTCTAGCACACATATCAAGGCAATAAAATTTACGTTGGCTTTTAATAGTTGTTTAAGTGTTCTTCAGTGGTTCGTCGGTTTATTGGAATCAGAGCCCTATCTCGAGGGCTCAATCGAGACCGACCTTTGGCACTTAAGTTAAATCCGAGGCTTAATTACCACGTCAATTCGGTTTGATCGTTTCATCAGTGTTAAATTAAGCCAAATATCCTTTAAACCGCGTATAGATTTAATTGTTATTCGTTTTAAGGGTAAACTGGAGTAATTGGAAGAACAAGAACATTGGAAAATGTTGTTAATTTTGAGAAGCTAAAAAGGGGGAAAGACGAAGAAGAAGAAAAACGTAGATAGCTAGACAGATAGACAGACAGATATGGAGATGGATAGATAGATAGATAAATATATAGATAGGTATATAGAGATCGGGTCTCTTTCGGTAGTCCAGTTTCTCCCTTCTACTTGATCTGTTTCAACGGAAAAGCTTCACTTTGACCTTTAAAAGTAAAGTAATTAAGTAAACCAACTACTAGTACGATAGAGTTCAGAAGTAAAAGAAACTAGTGCTTCATATTATTCATTAAATTCTTGGGCATGTCCGTGGAAAACATCTCCACTGCCCACATTACAGAGTTTAGCATGACAGTGCATATATATCTATCATGCTTTTATTTCATATACAATAATTACAGATCACTGGTTAGAAATAATTAAGCAGCACTTTGAGGCTCCCCACCAGTACAAATTAAAGATCCATCATTATCATAGAGTTCGCAACCCTTGTCTGCGTTACAACAGTTGATGCATTCTTGATTAATCTTTACCAATCCAGAAATCGGGCAACTTATGGTAGCAACTCTAGGGTCACATTCCGTAGTACAACTCTTGGGTTCATCACTCTCTCCTTCACAAACAAACTCACCATCTTGACCGAAGTAGTAGCAACCCTTGTAGCCCGTACAACAGGTAGTGCATCCGGTGGGATTAATTATCGTCTCTCCTTCTGAACGCGGGCATTTTGAATAGGCAATATCTGGATCACAAAACTGGGGACAAAAGTTTGGATTTTTGGGGTCAGACAATCCTTCACAAATAAAAGTTCCGTTAGCGTTGTAATAGTTGCAGCCCTTGTAGCCTGCGCAACAAGTGGTGCATATGGGATGGTCCGGAGTTCCTTGTGAACGAGGGCATATCCCATAGGCAAAATTACCACACTCTTTGGTACAAGCCTTGGCATCAACAAGTAGTAGAAACATTCCTATAACAAACATAGCTATATTTGTTAGTTATTTGAATGCCTTATTCTTTAATATCATATTCGAATTTTACTTTTTCTTGAAGGAAGGGTAAACCAATAATAGTAATAACTCACACAAATTAAAGGATTACACATAGACAATCTTAAGGAAAAACAACAGTTCTATATCAAAGAAGAAAAGAAAGGATAAAAGGAAAAAGGAAAATCTTACCAAGAACAAGTAGGTGAGCGAGGAAACTAACTTTGTGAACAGCCATTATACGCTTTCTCGTGAGTTACTTTGTTTTCTTTTTTGGGTAAGGAGGGTCTATCCTTCTCCGACTATTTATAACAAACGAGTGATCAATTAGAACATAGTCAGATCAATTCATTATTGGCTAATTAAAACCTTTTTGTTTATGATTAATGTATATAGCCTCCTCAATAGATAGATCTAATTTTTTAGTGTACGTTTGCCAAGGTACACGTTTGCTTCTTTATTAATAAAGTTGAACTCTTCCCAAGGTTTCTTGCAGCCATAAGGTAACAACAACAACAACCCAGTAAAATCTCACAAGTGGGGTCTGGGAAGGGTAGTGTGTACGCAGACCTTACCCCTACCCCGAAGGGATAGAGAGACTGTTTCCGAAAGACCCTCGGCTCAAGTTAATAAAAAGAAGACAAAAGGAGAGGATATTAGATTCATCACGGAGATCATAGGAAAAATAGGAACATAAAATGCAAAGCAAAAACGGTGGCTAGTAAATGGATCCAACGTCGAAAAAGAAAATAGTAAGACACGACATTGCCCCTAACTCTCTTAGACAAAACCCTACCGGACTAGGCTCACAAAGGTACAAAGTAATGCAAGACTCAATTACCTCCTAGCCTACAACTGTAATACTCGACCTCCACAACGTCAGCCATAAGGTACTTATAGGTAAATTTTTATAATGAACCCTAATTAATAATCTAATAAAAATGATATTTATATGTTATAATAGGTTAGACTATATTGATTGTAGATACAAGAAAATCTACAATAGCAATATATATTGAATTTTCTTACACGTACAACCAATATAGTTTAACAAGTCACACCGTCCCTTTCCCTAGGTCCATCAGTCGAGTTACTTGTGAATTAGAAGTGTACAAGTGGGACTTAAATTCAAAATAAAAATAAATTAATAAATGACATAAGTTTGGCCGCTAAGAGCCGACGGCGGCGGAAGGCAGTGTGGTGTTTCTTTCTCTTATCTAAACTCTATAAGTTTGGCATGTTCTTCATTATTTAATGTAACACTTTGACTTAAAGTTCTATGAGAAAGAATGTACTCCTTAATCAAATACTATCTCATTTAGGCTGTCAAGTTTGACCTTTCGGTTTGGCTGTAGATCATTTTCTTTTCAACAATATTTGTTTTAATGTCTGCATGTCAAACGTAAAACTTCTGCTTGGTACTTTTATAACTATTTATTAATTAGTAATATTTTTCTACACATTATATAATTTTATTTGTCTAGTTAAAGGATGAAACGAAAAATAAATATAACACTAAACGGGTTTGATAAATGGGCTTTACTTTTATCACATTCACATGTATATAATCTATCTATACCTATATTATATTATATTACTATATTAAAAGTGGGAAGGCCTTAAGTTAAAAGTTAAATTACAAAAATATCCTTCAAAATTTTTAGACCATTTTGCCCTTCATGAAAATAAAAATTACCTCCTACTCAATGTTGAAGATACATAAAAGCAGAATAAACTAATATATCAACCAACATAACTCTTCGTTGCTATCAAAAAAAATTGAATGGTGAGTTTTACCAAGGCTTCTTTTGAATTTAAAAAAAAACATACAAATATCCTAAACATTAGAAACGCCAAAAGATACCATACTTAAAAAAGAAACTTAATGACGACCTTTATATGCCCAATTAGCCAATGATACATATGATCATTAACAGCCACAATCCTTTTAACAAAAACTAATCCCTACAAACAACTTTCAATAGGCAACGCTTTATAATTTATCGCTTGGTCTTGTCAAGGTATTGTCGCGCCTCCTTGTGTTGTTCTTCTTCTCACCAAATCAGTATTTTGGGTCTTTAGACAAAACTTCGAAAGGAACTTTCGGTTAGTAATTTCATTTTTATTACGTTGAGTTATTTTAAAGAATGATTGTGACTTCTTTATTCTACTGCTTCACTTTGTGTCATGACCATGCATTATTGAGGAATATAGATTGATTTGATTTTGAATCTACAGTTTATTAGTTGCAATTTCTTGTTAGTATATTGAAGCCATAATTTTTACATATTATTAAAATTACAGAATCAGATTCAGAGTTTCAGAGTATGTCGGAAAGATCAAAGACGTCGTATTCGTCCTCTTAGAATGGACCAATTAGAGGTCGTACTACTAATAGTGATCCTACATAGAAATAACATAGGTTTGTTGTTGCTAGGCAGTCGAGTTTAATCGACAAACTTCAAAGAATGAGTGAGGAATATATTAAACTTTGCAGAATTTGCGATGCTAGAAAATTTTAAGTCATTTTTGAGTCGCTAAATTTTCTAATATATAGTTTTATTTTTGAGAGGAGAACCAAAATCCACGAATTTATTAGTTTCTCAATATCTTAAAATATGAAATTAGACATAGCAAAAGGCACAAAATTATCCTAATTCGTATTGATAATTTCTTATGTTGTGAATATGGGGAATATGTAAACCATAGAATATTAGCATATTATAGAAATTTACCATAAAATATGTTTTAAATTAGTACATGTGCAATTCAAAATAAAGCGAATATCAGGTGAATATATCAAAAATATTGAAAAGTTACAATTAGGCGAACAATTATTGTTTAATGTGACTAGATGGGCGATGGACGTTTACATTTGACTATTTTTTTCTCCAATTATCTTTTTTATAATATGTATCCCAAGCTTCTTTATGTGAAACAAGGGTACAAGACAACTCTAATGAAGTACATAAAAGTTTTATAAGAAAATCTTTCGGAACTCCATATATGGATATTTAATCAAATGTTATATATGACTTATAACTCTGTTATTTTTTACTTGCTTGTAGACAAGATTGATCTATATATATTTGAGTATCGAGAAAGATATCAAGCTCCAAAAACTTGATGAAAACGAAGAAATATAATAGAGGATAGTACATTATCTTACTTGATTACCTAATTTTTAGTAGATAAAAATAACTATTTGCAATTCAATCTTTCAAATGCACCGACGAGATTTGAACTTTAAAACTTATTGATGTATAATAAATAATGCTTTGTATATATGATGAAGCTGAAGATTTTGTGCATGACATGTATATTAAAATAGAAAAAGCAAGGCTTGAATATTTCAGAATGAGTAATCAACCTTGAAAAGACAATTAAGCCAAGTTGCAATTGTGTGATATGCCTATGGATGAAGGATATAAAAAAAATTAAAGTTGACCAAATTCCAATTGGAGCAACAAAATTTCATTAGCTAAGGGAGGTATACTAAAGGTTAATTGATTGCGTAATGGCCAGAAGAATGGAGATAAACTTGGCAGGAGAGTAAGCCTTTTGACTCTATTTATAAAATGTCTTAACGTTACATGAGAATGCTAGCCGTTGCTATATAAATTATGTAACGACCCGCGTTTTGAGCTCTAGCGCATCGTTCAGCATTTTGAAGCCCTGAGTAGCTTGACTTCAGGTATTGTGACTTGTACACGTGGTCGGAATTGAATTTCGGGAAGTTCGGAGTTGATTTGGAGAGAGAATTCTCATTTCGGAAGCTTTAAGTTGAAGGAATTGACTAAGATTGGATTTTTGAGTAAACGACCTTGGAATCAAGATTCAAAGGTTCCAGCAGGTTCGTATGATGATTTCGGACTTGGGCGTATGCCGGGACTGGGTTTTGGAAGACCCGGGAACGTTTTGGCGCCTATTGTGGAAGTTAGCATTTTTGGAAGAATTTCATAAGTTTGGGTTGAAGTGCATTTCAGTATTGTCGATGTCCATTTGGGACTTCGAGTCTAGAAATAGCTCCGTATGGTGATTTTGGTGTTGGGAGCGCGATGGGAAGTGAATTCGGAGGTCCGTTGGTCATTTTGGAGTCATTTGGCTAAAGATAGAAATTTGAAGGTTTTTGAGGAGTTTGACTGGAAGTGGACTTTTCGATATCGGGGTCGGATTCCGATTTTGAAAATTGCAGTAGGTCTGTAATATCGAATATGACTTGTGTACAAAATTTGAGGTCAATCAGACGTGATTTGATAGGTTTAAGCATCGAAAGTAAAAGTTTGAAATTTTAAAGTTCATTAATCTTGAATTGGAGTGCGATTTATGGTTTTAGCGTTGTTTAACCAATTTGAGGCTTCGAGCAGTTCCGTGTTATGTTATGGGACTGAGTGGTGTGATTGGACGGGGTCTCGGGGGCCTCATGTGAGTTTCGGACTTGCGGGAGGAGTTGAAAACACACCAGAATTTCTGGTGTTCTTGGCACCAGTTGCAGGTCTCGCAAATGCGAGAAAATGTTCGCAAATGCGATCCTCGTATTTCCGATGAAAGCTTTGCAATTTCGAAGAAGCCTAGCCTGGGCTTGGATTGCATTTGCGATAAAGGCAGTCACATTTGCGAGCCTGACAGGGTTCGCATTTGCAAGTTCTTAGTCGCATTTGCGACCTAGGCAGTAGAAACCCAGGGTTCGCATTTGCGATATTTTGGTCGCATTTGCGACCTTGGAAGGGGAGGCCCATGTTCGAATTTGCGATTGTTTTGTCGCATTTGCGACCGTCGCATTTGTGAACCAGGTGTCGCAAATGCGACATCTGAGGCCTGTGCACATCTATTAATTTCGAGATTTAGACCATTTAGCTCATTTCCTTTCATCTCTTGGGCGATTTTTGGAGCTTTTGGAAGAGGGTTCTCACCTAGCACTTTGAGGTAAGTAATTTCTACACAACATGAGTTACATACATAGATTATGGGTAGATTAACATGTGAAAATTAGGGAAAATCAAGGATTTAGATGAAAAACCTAGAGTTTGATAAAAAACAAGATTTAACCACGAAATTTGTTATGGAATGGGGTAAAATCATATATTCTTGATCCTTAGGTTATGGGTAACAACTTTCTTCACAAAAAATTTCAGAATCCGGGCACGTGGGCCCGGGGATGAATTTTAGGAACCTTGCATTTAGGGAGCATGTATTGGCTAGTCCTTACCCCATTTGAATAGTTTTGGATCGTTCGGCTCCAATTTGGAGGTTTGAGCGCGTTCTTGAATTGGGATATAGGCTTCGGAGCAAGGTGAGTCTCC